AGGTTCTCAGTCATTTAATCCAAAAATGGCTACATCGAGGGCAACTGGACAAAGTAGGTTTTCTTGAAGACGTTTCACCTTTCATCCAAGAGGGTTAGGAGAAGTGAAACGTCTTCAATAAAACTTTAAAAAAGTTAAACTTTGTCCAGTTGCCCTCGATGTAACTATTTCTGGAACAATCAAAAGCTGTGTTGGTCTCATTTACCTCTTGCCGTCAGGGTGGAAAGCCACACAATTGACGGAACCAAAATGACCTTTGACTCCTGCCAAACCCCTCCTCGTACACAGCGTAGAAGAACCTGCAGATTGTAAGAACACGTCATCATGCCACATGTTAACACAAACAAACAGGTTTTCCTTAAAGTAGTGGTGGGCAAGTGAAGCACTGAGGCTTTCCTAACAATTGTGCCGAAAAAGATTCAAAGCTTCAGTGACAGTGACATCTGGTGGACAACTGAAGCCATAGCAACCTCTAAAGAGCAATCTGTCAACATTCAAACGTAACACAAAACCATAACAGACAGTTCATTTCAAACTGTACCACTCATTTCTCCTGAGATGTACTTCAAATATTCTAAAGTCTATTTCACTACAAGTACATAAATCTGTGATTCACATTACAAGGTCTGTAGTATGGACAGACCGACCAACACACCTACTACTGTGTATCTTCTTATAACCCCAGCAAATTGTCAGTGTTTACTGTTTCAGTTTACACATACTTGTATAACAATCTATCAATAAATATCTTCAAATACATTTCTGTTGTTCTACTTTGGAGCGGGGGTCTCAAGGACAAATGACTGGAGGATCACCTCACAATTCCATGTATAAACAGTGACAAACAAATAAATATTTTCTTTGTTGACATCCATTAGGCAACTGGACATGAAATTTTCACTCAACAGAGGAGGTGGGCTAAGACACCCACATACCAAAACCATTCTGATGAGGATTACAACGACCCATCAGACTCCTAACGACTGTTAACATGACCCCAACGGCCCACCCAACAGGGTATATTTGCTGTAGTCCCCTCCACCAATTAGAACTGAAGAAGCCTCTTGGATGAGAGGCCAAACGTCTTCTTGAGAAAATTTCACGCCCAGTTGCCTAACGTAACTCTTCCACCTTGACCTGGATGACTGAGAATCTTCATAGACAACTTTTTTTTTTTATTTGCCTAAAACTCAGGTTTTATTTTTAAGGCTAACAACAAAACTCTTTTCTACGTTCTTCTTGATGGCCAGCCAGGTGTCATTCTGATGACTTTCTAACATTTTTCAACAACTGTTATCACATCAATCATTTCCATAAGAGTACTCACCTTGGCGGTGTTGTCCTTTGAGGCACTGATGAACATGGTGAGGTCTGGATGTCATTGATGTGCCTGCTGTGCTCCTCAGCTTTCTCCAGGACTTCTCCGGAATACTGACAAATAAACAACAACAAAAGTTCCTCATTATCACAAGCTCTACAAAAGATGCTGTCTGTGATTCATTATGTCCTTCAGTATTTCATTTCTATAATACTATGTGCAAACAATTTCCTTAGCAGTAATCAGGAAGCTGTGTACTATCTCGTTTCTTTTACGGTATTAATTTGTTTATGTTGCACGTGACGATTACCTACCGATCTGTGGATCCCTCAGGTCAAACAAGTTCATGAAACACTGACAGCCCATCTGCTTGTCTGTGGAAAACATGATGTTGCCGCTGAAATCAAACCCACGTGTTCTGACGGCAGACATTAAAGAAAGGACACGGAGCAAAAAGTAAACAACAAAATATAAAACTTGACAGGAAATTATCCAAAATACATTTAAACACTCATACAC